GCGACGCCGATCCATGACACAGAACCGTAATGACAACGGACGTTATTGACGACGTGACTCATTGCGGCACGTGAACGCCGATACTTTCGGCACGACGGAAAGAAACCCCGGCTACGTGCCGCTCGCACAGTGCCTCGTTCGGCAATGCTAAAAGGCGGCGCGCACGCCATTTTTATCCTACACTACATCCACCCGTCACCGTGGCGGCGGCGGCGGCGGCTCGTTTCGTTTCCGTGCGTTTTATACTCCCGACCGGCACAATGTGGTTTACTTACCCTCACGTAAGGACACCCCGCGGCACCGTCCCGTCTCGCAACTCGCATAAAAATCTCTTCTCTCTTTTGCCCGGTGTGTACACCAAAAAAAAACCACCAAATTACGTATCCGACACTCGTGCCCACCCGTCCGCACACTCGACCGGCGCGCAACCGACTGAACGTCGGCGCGCGGCGACTACGCCGTCGCGCAGCAGCTAGTCCCTTCGCGCATAAAGCGGCGCCCCGTTTTACGCTCGCGCGGAAAATTGGAAAAAGCGGGACGAGACGAGGAGTCTATCCGCTATTTCTCGCCACGTTTCTCGCAAAAAAAGTTTTATCTCCACGCGTCCGCCGATGCTCTTCCGCGGAAAATTTTGCAAATCCGCGCTATGTATAAAAAAAAAAACTTTTTGTCGGCGTTTCCTCTCACGAGTTACACGAAAATGTTGTAGGATGTGTAACGGTGTGAGACAAAAAAGCGTGACCGATTGAATTGTAAAAATTAATTTTTACAAGACGTCCTTACCTTTGAACTTTTCCGATTTGACCCAACATTGTGGGGAAGGGGGGGAGGGGATAAATCAATTGTTTAAATTGGGTTTAAACAGTTTCGCACTTGGGCAATTTTTTGTTGACAAAAAATCACGTCAGAGATCTCGTGTTGTATCAAAATTCGTTTCGCTTGTGCGATGCGTACGCGCAATAATAAAAAAACGAATAACAAAAATTGCTTGACTTTAAAAATCGTCGACGTGGATCAAAATTGCACACGTACCTGTGCCTTTACTCCGTTCGGCGCGGCGTAGGAATACAAGATTTGCTTGTGACATCATCGCTTACTGTTTACTCGTATTCTCTGGACCGCGGGCACGCCCCGATCTCATCCCGCGCGTTACCCCTCGGGTTCGGATGCACTCACAAGCAACTCTTTCTCTCATTATTATGCAGATTTATGCAACGCACGCTGTGTTTCTCTCTTTCGCGGGCGGGAGCAACCTGCCGTGCGAAGAGATTCGTTTTAGCGAAAAAAAACAAACAAACAAACGCGAGTTACCGGAGAAGAGTCTCTGACTGAGCGTCAACCTTCGAACGTCACGCGCGCGATCGCGTAGCCAATCGCGCGTCTCGGGCATCGATAACTCGCGGAATTTAAATCGGAAACACACACACACACACACACACACACACACACGCTCTCTTCTTCAAATCTTTCGTTTGTGTAAATTTGGGGTTTTGATTTGTTTGTTTTTTTTTTTTTTTATTTATTTATTAAACCGAGCGCTTCGAACGAAAGCGTGCGAATTATTTCGAGATAACTTACACACGTGCGACAGTAGAGTATTCATAGATTTTATTTACACTTGTTGTTTCTCACAACAAGAGAAGTATACAATAAAAAAAAAAAGAAATAATCTAACGACAATTCTCGCTTGAGAGAGCAATCGGATTCTTCGGGCAATTAGACATCTTTGTATTTTTCTTCTTGAAATCCAACTGTGTACGTATCTATATGTCAAAAAGCGTGTCATATTAACTGTATGTACAATCTCAAAGACCTCGTGTACAATTTTGCGTACACTCGCCCCGCTTTTTAGCTCTTGCGATCTTGACACGAATAATGCACTATATCGCCATTGGGATATCTCGCAAAAGCGCTGAAAGAAAACATAGCTCGCAATAATTGTTCGAATTAATTTTTTACTGCAAATAAATTTTTGCAATAAAAATGTGTGTGACGTTTCGAAAAGTTAATTTACTTTTGTAAAGAAAATTCTCTCGCTTACAAACCTTTGATTTCCGAATCGCTTCTTACAAACCGGACATATGTTGAACTCCGTCATGAGAACGTTCTGAGACTCGTAATGCATTCGCTGTTCCTGCACTTGCAAATGTTCCGCGTAAAGCAATCCCTTGAGAACCTGCGTTCTCCGTCTCGCGTTCAGATTGTTTTGCAAACTAACTTCCAGAAAGTGTTTTATTCTACCTATGGGAACGGAATCTGGCAAAACCTCCAACGCCTTCATGGGGTTTATCTTCGAAGCGTGTTCCTCCAACAATCGCAGAGCCATCTCCAAATCCGGTTGTGTCGTTCTTTGTATCTCCGGACTACAACCTTGATTGACCAAGGAACGTGTGTAAAAAAAATATAATTCTCGAAGCTGATTTATTTAAAAGTATAATAAATAATTGTTTTTGCATTCGACATTTACCGGCCATTAAAACCCCCTCGTTGTCAGGTTTCAACAATTGCTGAATCAGCAAAACGTAAACCTCGTCCGCATTGTCCGTTTGTTTTTGTTTCTCCGCGCGATCTTGATCTTGAAACGTTAAACTAATTGCGTTATCTTGACCATATTCGCGATAAACAATGAATATTTTATAACTTCACTTACTTTGATATCTAGTATATACATTTTGACAATATTGTATTGCACGCGGTATATCGTTCAGAAGACTGACGTATATCGATATAGCTTGCTGATGACGACCGAGTCGGCCAAGTATAATCGCACGCTCCTCGAATAAACTGTCGAACGGGAAGTGCACCAATATCGTTTCTGGCGTGTAATACGGCGATTTCTCCAAAAACTGTTGCAACTTCTGCCGAATGTGTTGCGAGGTTTCCTTTTCCGCCGGCGTTGCGTTTTGATTCATGGAGGCCAGACATTTTTCCTTGTACTGATGTATCAACACATTGTGGAATAACGGATTGGTGTCTTCCCAAACGTGTACCACGTGTTCCAGGTACTGTATCACCAAGTCTTTGTGAAAACGAAGAAGGTAATCCAATATCTTTGGTCTGGGCAAATGTTCAACTTCCTGTGAGCAAAACAAAAATACATGCACACAAGTCTGACATGTGACTAAAACCAGAAAGAATTCTGTGCGGGGGGGGCACCTGTATATCTTCCATAAATATTCTCAAGCCTTGTTCAGGATCCTCCGTTAAAACCCATCCAGCAAACTTCAGAATCAAATCCATGTGATCCTTGCCGAGATGTTGCAAATACTGTATTGTTCTTTCGGTGCCTTTCAGACTAGAATCGTTTTCTTTCGCGTGCTTCTCGAGTAGTTCCAGCGCTTTCTTGTGTTGCCCTTTGGTTTGATAAAGTATAATAAGTTCCGGATACTTCTGATGCATTAGCAAAGTTTTCTCAGCCTCTGCCAAGTGACAGTGATTCAGTCTGAGTAAAGGTGCTACCAAAGCATCGGTGGTCTGCGAGAGACAAAATCCAAATTTTACTACTTAGAACGTTCGTGTTACGCTCGCGAGAAATTTGTTTCGTACATGCACGCGTTTTCGTGTTTTACCTGCAGATAGCATTTTAAGAGTGTGGTGTCTATAATCTTCAGAAGCTGTTCCGTAGCTACCGCAGTCAAATTCTTTTCTCCATTTATTTCGTTCTTCTCTTTAGCAAGCTCTTTGTCTTTCGCCATTAATTTATGTCTAACTTCGGTCAGAAAAACTATCAGCGCGCGTAAACCTTTCTCCAAATCATGATCTTGCAGTTTCGGCAGACTGGGCGTTGGTTCGCTGAGCTCGTTGGCATTGGCCGACGGTGTGACCAAATCCGGAAACAATCTGATCACCTCGTACGGATCAGTTCCTAGTTGCAAGAACAGATCCATTGCTTCTTGGAATCGTTTGTTGTAAAACAAATGGTGCGCGTACAACGTTTGTATTTTGTACGTTTGTTTGACCTTCTCCTCGTCCGTTATATCCGACAAATTCTGAAATTACACGTGTAACGAAACGTTCGTGTACAACATTACTTTCACATTAAGATACAAATCAAGAATTTTCATTGAACAAAATATTAAAAAATTTGATCGTACGGTTAATTTTAACGCCAACTGAAATTGATTTTGTTCCAGTAGAGTTCTAATCTGCAAAGTTACATCAACCGCTTTGACACACCATATCTGACTAATGGATGCCACAAAGACCTTCCCTTGTTTACATCGATATATAAGCCTGGCCTTATTTAGATCCTTTATTGTCTGAATATGCAGACATCCCTCGAGAGTGTACACCTCCAATCTGTCGTGCACAATACCAAGTAAATAAGGTTCATCCCACGCTGAAAAATAACATTACAAAATTTTATTCAATTAATAGTTATATGTTATAGAAAAAAAACAATGAACAAAATAAAGCCCATACTTATTGCATTAGGTGTGTCAGACCACTTTACGGGATTGTGTTGCACCAGTTCTCCTTTTGTATCCATGATAAATGACTGAGAATCCTTTCCCAATACAAAAGAATTGTCTGATAATTTCGTGATACTTGGTTCCGGAGACTTGCCAGTGGGAAAGAGTTCCTTGGTCTTACCGTTCAGATCAAAAATTGTATAAGACAATCCGCGAAAACCCAATATTAATGTTTCACCACACCTTAATAAATTTTAATTTAAAAGTAATTAATTAAAAAAGAACTGATCTTGAAAAAAAATATAAATAAAAGATTGTGTGATGTTCTAGCGTATGTGTTATTATACCATGACAAATGACGAGGTATATCAGGCACGGTTAACTCAAAATCTTTGAATTCCTCAAACTTCTTCCCCTTCCAATAATACAACTGCAATTTACGCTTAACGGCAACGCACAGTCGCACTACGGTGTTCTTCTCTCCGGTCAGACTCTCAGTTGACTGAACATCCATAGTAAACAGAGTGGCACCGCGAGTCTTTGATAACTGGCTTATTTGTTGAAAGTTTGGCGAATTCAAATCGTGAATACATACAATATTATCTGAAATGTTTTGTTATTTTATACAATGTTATTACAAAAAATCCTACAATTATATTGCAGCGTGTATCAATTCTCATTACGGTTACCTGTTAAGATGATCAATAAATTATATTCCGGCACAACATCTATCTGATTGATACGTTTCTTGTTAAAATTTTTGCTATGTCGCAATAATTCCAGTTTGTGGCTGTCATCAAACACCGACGGGACATTATACATAAGAAGATGACCCTCTCGCGTGCCTATCAATAGATTGTCATCTGAAAACAATTAAAATACACATTGAATAAATATTATTATTTTTACCTACCCTGATAGAGAAGTGTAATGCGATTATGATATAACCAATTTAGAATTGTTTACTCACCGTAAGCGGCCATAGATTCGATTTGTACAGTAATATTTAATATAGACGTTTCCTCGTAAGCGTCGTGCATTGTTGCTGTTTAAAAAAAAACAAATCGTGCGTTGCCAAACAAATTCTTCTCCTATTATTCGACAATGCATTCATATACAAGTGTATCCACCCGCATTCTCATATCGAGTTGACAGTTTGACACCTGTCAAACCTTGCTTTATCAGTGGCTGCGTTTCAATTGGTGCCGCCGTGAATACGAGGTTGCTCACCAGATAGCGGGACTAGGTAGGAACAAGAACACGCCAATCTTACTGACGTGGCTCGTTACTTTGACAAACGGTTGACCGGTTGGAGTTATTTGGAATCGCGAGCGCACACGTTGTTGGAGGTTGGAATAACCCGGAGAGTGTACTTTTCGACCAACTTCCGTCACAGACGGTCAACAATTTGTTACAGCTGTTGTCACGAATATAACTCGCATTATGAATAAGATCATCTTCTTGTGCGCGTTAGCGGGCGTAATCGCCGCGGTTGTCGCCGAGACCTGTCAGAAGCCCGAGTTCACCACTTCGTCGTACGTGACGGAAGACGCGACGGTTCTCACGAACGTCGCCTTCACCATGCAGTTCACGTTGAAGTGCAGCAACGGCGTCAAGGGAATCAGTCTCTACGCCGAAGTCGAGGGCAAGACCCTGCCAGCGGTGAGACTGAGCGCCGACAATAAATATCAGGTAATTTCTCTTTGATCAATTAACGTAAAATACTGTTCACTAGTTTGAAACAAACAGATTGCTTGTTGAATGGTTGAAAACTTCAATTAAAAAACATATTTGTTACATAGTTCGCACGTTTCTTCTCAAACCATTTTGAAGACAAATATAATACTTGTAATTGTTATAGATATCTTGGACGGAAGATGTGAAGAAAGCAAGATCTGGTGATTACTATATAAAACTGTACGATGAAGAGAAATACGCCGCTGTGCGCAAAGCAATAAGAAACGGAGAAGATCCCGACAGCGTGAATCCTCTTGGTGTGCTTGTTCTCAACAATCCCGGTGCCTATCTCGGTCCCTGGGTGAATTCCGAATTCTTGGCCGCGTTCTTAGCTACTTTTGTGTGTTACACAGCATTTTCTGCGAAACACAAACTTCTAGCGTAAAAAAAAACTTATAGAAAATAAAGTGAATATTTAAGCAAAAATATTCAAACATCCAAGTTTTTGTTATAAAATTATTTATGAGATACGTTCGGTGTGAAGAGTGAGAAAAAACAAAGAACGCATTATCACATATATGAGACTTAAACAAATATTACCTTTTTACATGTAAATATACTGTTATTTTTGTATTTAATAAACTTGTACGTGAAATTAAATATTCTTCTTTTCTATTTTAAAATAACAAATATGCACTGATCTACGTGTCAGATGTAAATTTTTATAAACTGTAACAAAATTGTTGTTCGCAAGATCGACAGAATACGCGGCGAAGCGCTCAGTACATGCCGCGTGGAGGTGGCCGTCCGAACAAGTGTTTCCAAGACGGTGGAAATTTCCAGGTGACACTTTTGCGACGTGTTCCCAACACATCTATCCACTGATCCAAGTAATGCACCAGAAGCAACGCGTCCGAAGTATTGTCTCCTTCGGAGCAAAATTTAAACAACACGGCGCAAGGAATCTTGGCGTCGGACAAGAAGTTAAAGATACTCTTTGCAAATCCACCGCCCGGTATCCGTAATCTTTCTTCCACACCGGTGTCGCTGTCGTTCTTATTAGATTTGTGCGGAATCCAATTGAGATCGTCAAAAAGTTTACCACTTTCGGCCTGTATCTCAGACGAGGCGACGTATCTCAACTTGAGAGGATTCGGTTGGATTTCTCTCCTCTCGTAGTCGTAAGAACTGGCCAGAACAATTACCTGTAACATAAGGAACGTCACAAACGCGGTCTTCGCCATTGACAAGATCAACAAGTTTTACCTTGGCTATTTTTCTGTCAATGACAAATTGCTTCAGCTCCTCGAAGAATTCGGTTAGGTCGGCCACGTACGGCGAACGAATTTGCACCACGACAATTCTTTGCTCCTCGGTCCCGGCGTAAATGTCAATCGCCGTGACGAGCTCGTTCGATTTTTCGTCGTAAGCGTTCGCGCCGACGATGGGCACGAACGCCGTGCTGAAAATCTGACCGATTTTCTCGAGGTTAAGATTCGCAACGAGCAAATCGACCGACAATTGTCCGACATTTCCAACCGCGACCGACGGCAAGATCAGCGTGTAATTTTCAAGACTGATGTCACGCGTCAATTTGATCATTTTCTCGCGTTCGAACTCCACTCTTCGCTCGTTCAAAATACGAGGCAAATACTGCCGAGTAATTTGTCGCAAGCCGGCAACTCCGGCAACGAAACAAAATTCCTAGAAACGGAAGAAAAATGTTCCTGTTTTCTCGTTCTCGAGCGCCGCGATGTCCACGTTTCGCGCACATCAACTAAACCGAGTTCCAAAGAAGGTCGAAAGGTCGAGGGTTGACCTCTCCGAAGGCGCGAAAAATAAATAATTGTGTAAAACATTCGCTCGAACGAGTGTTTCGGTTTTTATTTTCACGTTATTCACATTTGGATAATAAAACGTAACGTTTCATTTCGATCTCGCGGCACATTGCTGCGAAGACTTCCTCCGCATTTTAATTTTGCAAACCCAAAGAAAGAATTTTAATAATATTCTTTTACATTTTAATAACGAAACGTGAACAATATTATGCGTATTTTCAACAGCCCAGTTGTTTTTCTAACGGCGAACGTTTGTTTTGACGCTCGAGAGAGAATTCCACTTCTCTTCCCCGAGATTCTTTTGCAACGCGAAGGAAAATCAAAAAGCGCGTGAGATAAATGCAAATTGATTTTTCGCGAATAACAAAATAAATCGAACAAGAGTAAATGAAGGAATATGACGCGGATTGTAATGAATTTAGAAAATTATACTGAACCTCGTGGAAAAAGAGGACGGAGAAGTTTAATAAATGTTAAATTTAATACGCATGTGAAAAATAAAGCGTGTTGCGTCCCACGGCTGAGGTGTTTTTCCGACTGGTGAGCTTTTTTTTGTTGTTTTGACGCTCGGAAAACTGTTCAACCCCCTCTAGTCCTACTACGCAACTGTGGGCCCGCGACGTGAAAGAAAATCCAAAAGCGCATAGCGGGGGATGCGCGCGCGCAGTGGAAAACTCTATCGCGCTTGCTCACAGCGCAGCGCGTAGCCTCAGATATCGTCGATCTCTCGAGAGTGACGGACGTGTCGTCGGGTTGCGCGCGACTAAAAATTTTTCTTTTTTTCGTTATTACAACTTTTTTCGCACGTAATATTTCGTGAATTTCTTTCTTTGTTAATTTTAACATACAATTTCTTTATTGCGAATATATCGCGCGTGCGTCGCGATTAAATATTTCGCGAATATAAATTATTAGTCTTCCGCTTCGTAATTTCTTTGTTTTTGTAAAATAATGATTTCAATACATAAAGCGATATATCGATTCACGTTCTAACGACAATCATTTCTTTGTTACATATTGTGTATAACATAAATTGGAACATATACTTTTTTATTTCAATTTTATCGGAAGAATTTTGCAATACGGTTTTAATATCTTACAAATTAGAGTTTCTCGTTAATAATTTCTCTATTAAGAGAATCGCGATAATAAATCTGTAACTTTTTATTCATTTCCGAATTCTTCTCTCTGACAGTTTGGGTGCAAGAGGTACCATTGTCATCTTAACTGTCATTGAGAAGAGTGCGGAGGTGAATAAACATTATAGATTTTTTTTTTCACATTCAATAGTTCTCGTTGACTTGATTTCAAAGAGTCTGGTTGTTGTTGTAAAATTCTCTGTAAAATTCAAATAAAAATTACATTTCCACATATTATGCTATAACATACATATAACAAAGGAATGTGAGTTACGTGTAATCGCAATACATTGCTTTATATACTTAAAATATTTTATTTTACAAAAAAAAATAAATCTCGAAACAGCAAGATAATAGTTTGATATACGTGAAATTTTTCATCGTGAAGTATAACGTTTAATATATTGTCAAAAGTAACTTTAAAACAAAAAATAGAAAGAAAATCACTTAATCGTGTGTGCGCGTGTGAAAGTGATCGAGTGCCAAAAAGAAGATACAATCCGGACAATTATATTCCTTTGGACTTTTGGTGACGCTGATGGTATTCCTGACGGCGGTGTTTCCGGTACCGGAGGAGCCGGTTCGGGCAATAAAATGCTGGCACGAAGGTATATTTACTGTTTATAATATTATATATGTTATACATAAAAATATTAAAGTCCATTTTAATTTTCTTCAAAGTTCTGAATCTAACGATAGAATTTTTATTTTGTTACAGATTGGTGTCGTCGCAGTAAGTGGCCAGCGCACGTGAGTACATCTTTAGGGTAGGTGATGGGTTCTTCTTCTAAATCAGTGCGATACATAGTTCTTTCTTGCATATTCATCCTTCAGAAGCGTCGAGAAATACAAATAAAATATTTTTATATTCTTAAAGTAGAAATTTATATATTTTTCGTGTTTTATATACATATATACATATATTTAAATACCAATTGGAATTAGAATATAATTAAAGAGAAATACAGTTCTTGAGATACTACATATAATATTTTCAAAGATATACTAACTGCTCCTTTTGCAATGGTTTATTTATTGATGACTGTGTTATTTCTCGACGATTCACTTTTTCAACAAATTGCAAATATTTAATTCGCCTTGCGTCAAAACTGACGCCCTGGACCTCGCAAGTTGCGAGGAAATCACGCGATCGCGGTCGTGTACGCGGTTTTAGTTTTCGTGATTTTTCTATTTCTTCTATTTCTTCTTTTCTAGATTTTCTTTTTTGATTTTAATCTATATTAATATCGAGATTATAGAGAAAGAAAGAATGAAGTTTTCGCGAGTATTTCTACAGAAAAATTATAAATCTTTTGAGACATGATTTTCGAAAAGTATATCGAGAAAGAAACTTTTATATAATTTTGATCGCGTTTTACTTTAACATTATTTAGATTTTTGAATTTAGATATCGAAGTTTTACATGTACTTTTGACGTTGTTTTTCCGATTTATTTCGTCTTTCGTTCCGTTTCCGATAAATCATTTTCGCAAGATAATTGCGAACTGGTGCTTCGTTGAAGCAATCTGTTTTGCGTAAAAAGTATGCAAATTATTACTATTATAATTAAAACCGCAAATTTCGTTCCGTTCTAACTAAACAATCAATAATAAAACTTTTTGAATTTCAATAGTGAGTTTTGTGTAAAATCCACGCGACGTATTTCAGAATATTCTAAAAATTATATAGTAAAATTGTATATTATATTTCGTGCTTTTTGATTACTTATTTTGATCACTTATTACTAATTTTATATATATATATATATATATTTGTTTTATACATACCACCTATCTATACCCTTCCTTTATCAAAAAAAAAGAAAAAAAAAGAAAAAAAGGAAAAAAAAAGAAAAAAAAAGAGAAAATATTGAAAAGTAAGATTCCTCAATTTATTCTTCTATCCTTTTCATTTACCCTACATTTACCCTACACATTTACTCTCTACACATTTTTTATATTTAAACATAAAGTATAGAGTCGCGAATAAAATTCTATATCATTATACTTTTCATTTCATTATTATTATTCTTATATTCTATCTTTTAAAATAACGTTATTTATTCCGCGTTATTTTTCACATTCTTTTGTCTTAATTTTATCTATCAACTTTTTTCAAAGTAAAATTAGAGTCATTCGCGATTTCGCGGTTTTCGCGTAACATTACAGCAACGGGGCCACCGGTAAGGTTAAACGTGGTCCCGCGTCGTGGGACTACGGTCATCTCGTCGTGGGCGCGCACTCGTCGCATCGTGGGACAGTAAAGGTAGGTTCCTGATTGCTACGTGGGACTGGAGTCGAAGATACGTCGATGGACGCCGAGGGACTACGCGCAACGGTACATTATATTTTCTTAAATAATTTATTCTTCTCACATAAGAAATTCACTTTTAGAAAAGTTGCTCTTTTGTACACATTATCTTCAAATTTCTATTATATTTTAAACAAACAAATTAAAATTCTTATATACAGTTATATAACTAAGAAATTTTAAATATAGTAAGTTAAATTTTTCTAAAACAGTTTCTTTTATATAATATATTATTGTAGAAAGAAAATTTTTTATATATGAACATATTCTATATCTGATAATGTTTTTAATTAAATACAATCATATATGAGATCTTCTCAATCTCATACAAAATTATTATGTATGCCTAGGTATAGAATTTGAGCATATCTAAAGGATTGTTTCCCAGAAAAATAATAATTTAAAATTAAATAATTCATTATCTTTTTTATATTCTCTAATAAAAATTTTTGAGAAGAATAAATTATTCTGCATAAGTAGTAAATCGCACTGATTTTTTAATATATATTTTTTTTGATGACATTTTCATATATTGTATGTGTTTTTTTTAATTTTTTTTTAATTTTCTGATATATTTATCCATATCTGTATTTATCTATATATATGTATATTTTTTTTTTATTTTTATTTATCTATATTTTCTGCATCTACTTTTATAATTCTATATCAATTTCTCTTAAAGAACCGATATAGGATTTGTTTTTGAAGACTTATGTTCTTTCTTATCTATTTTCTACATCAACTTTTATATATTTCTATATCAATTTCTCATAAAGAACCGATATAGAATTTGTTTTTGAAGACTTATGTTCTTTCTTATCTATTTTCTACATCCACTTTTATATATTTCTATATCAATTTCTCTTAAAGAACCGATATAGAATCTTTTTTTGAAGACTTCTTTTTTTATATCTATTCTCTACATTTATTCTTTTTCTAATTAATCTTTGCAAAAATATATATTTGAATATATATTTGAAATATATGTATTTAAATATATATTTTTCTTTTTTCATATTCTATCTCATCTATTTGTATGCTTGGTATGCTTTTATCGGATGGGTGTTTTCTTTAAAAATCATAAAATATAAAAAATTTCAAACGCGGGAAACTAAAATATATCTAAAATAATACTTATTATTTTTAAAACAATTGCTCCCCTCGCGTAAAATATTGTTAGGTTTTAAAAACTTTCCAAACACGTGTAGGTAGGGATCTGCAATATTGATAGGTATTAAATCTTTCTAAAACAATGTAGGTAGGGATCTACAAACGCTTGTAGAAAATATGTTAGGCCGGGTAGGTAGGAAATTTGTTTAATCGAGTAGGTAGGAAATAAAACTGTAAAATTAGGATCAAGGCATGTGCCGTGCAGCCTTAATCCTGATTAATAAGGCTAGTTTAACTTTTAAGATAGTTTAAGGGTAGGTAGGTTATATAATAGGTTTAAAAATTAGGAAAAATGCAAATGCACTGATTGATATCAATCACTGCGTATGCATGTAAATGTAAGATTAAATTTTCATTTATGTTAAATTACATTTATTGTATGTAAAAACTATCAACAAGACTTCAATAAAGAAAGAATTCGAATTGTAAAACATCAGTAAATGAAATTTACATCGAGAATTTTTAACGTGCGATGAAGTGTAGCATACAATAAGTGTAATTTTGCCAGAAATATTGTCATATACGGTTTGTATTTATTATTGTATGTATTCAATTTTATCAACGTATATGTAAAAAACTTGGCAAATTGTAAAACTTGGAAAATTGTAAAACTTGAAAATTGTAACACATTTTGATAAATTAAATTAAAAAATTGTAATAAAACGGTAAAAAATAGACTTCTTGAAGTGCAACTTCTCAGACATATATACATGTATAATATTTGTGACTGTCAAACCAATTTTAAATAATAATTTACATAATTTTTATACTTTGTAATATATCTGTACGTTGTTGTATATGCATATGTGCGTAGTCTTTTTTCACAAAATAAAAGCAAATAGCAGCAAACGAATGATAAAAAAAAGGAGACGTGTATGTTGTGTGGGAAGTTGCAAATTTTTATATTTTCCACTACACCTTTCTGTTCTTCTTCCCTGAGTTCACAAATCGGTCGTTTTAATTCTTGAAACACATGAAATCGACGCGACAGCTCGCGGTATCCACACGTCTGTAAAAAAACGCGAAACATACATAGCAATTTAATAATATTCGATTCTAACAGCAGCAAATGATGATCTAACAATAAGAAGATGTGTTTACTTGATGCGACACTTCATCCTGCTCCGTAGTAATGTCGCACGCGGTTGCAAGAGGATTTGATGCTGCTGACAATCGTCTTCTTCACACACATCAACATATGGTTTTCACATCGTTCTTTGTTACACATTCCTGTGTTTCTTAAAAACGCGTAATCGCTACAGCAACGCGCGCGCGCGCGCGCGACACATTTTTTCTCGGACGCGTTTCGCGAAAAGGCGCGGACGACCGCGATATAATTTCATTACTAGCGAACGCGCTGCGCTAATTTTGTATCACAAACATGCGACACTTCGCCACACACACACACACACACACGTGCCACCGGGAATTGCGCGCGAAACGCGAGATAATAATCGCGAGAAGTGCGAAGAAATTCGAACGTCGTCGTTTCCGCCTCGGTGTCCGCCATAAACTATCCCGTCGAAAACGAACGTATCGAATCGCGCGATATCGCGATATTGTCGAGATATCGAATCGACGTGCGCGTCGGCGAATGAGCTTCGAGAGAAACGGTTGCGTTCGGCAACGAAACTCGTCGCTTTGCGATTGGTTTCCGAACGCAGCTAATTTTCTTTAATTGAACATTTTCTCGTTCGCGTCTCGGAAACGTCTCTCGTTCTCTCTCGGTCGGACAGACAAGACCAATCCGGCAAGGTCGGCGATTTTTCGTTCTCGAATCGTCGATTCGGTCGTCGTCCGGATCGCGCGCGCACGACGCGACTTTTCCAACGTCCCCCGGTTGTTCCGGATCGCACGCTCGTGATCCGTGGATGAGATAACACACGGACAGACATTAATTGGTGTTGCATCAGCCATACCGGTTGGATGTGCGTAGTTACGCTTAGATATTTTTGGACAATTCTCGGTGTTTTTACACCGACTTTTTCGGTTTATCATTAATTTTAACGAACGTACAACTCCGTGGCTTGTACCCAAACCACGGTTTAGGACCTGTGTCACGATTTTTAAAGACTTAGAATGGCGTATGGACTAGCTTGAAACGGTCCTTTGAGCCATATATGCACCAAACCAAACACGGACAGACAGACAGACAACGGTGACGAGAGAGAGATAGCTCCGCGATCACAAGTATTATTATCGTTGGGCACGTCAAAATCCCCCGCGATTAAAATCAATCCGCGGCATGGTGATCGACGCCCGCAGATAAAACCTCTGGGGGACGCGTTTTATTTATAAAAAAAATGGTAAGTAATTTTGCCAGTTGCGTGTTGTTCTCGCCAGCATGTACCGCACAGATCCCAAAGGTAACCTCGCGCACGGGGGAAACGGAACGCGTTGCGCGATGATTAATTATAATCTTGGAAGTATTGTATATATAAGAGCTCTAGAGTGTGTATATATAAATGCACGCAATTTTTATCCGACTGCGTCAGCGTGTGTTTCCGGAATTGGACTCTTCCGCGAGGAAGAAAATTTTAATCGCGACATCGTTCCGCGCAGTTTGCACGATAGGAGAAAGTGGTGTCATATGGTGCCAGTCACTGTTTTGCACTGTATACATATATATACATATGTATATATATATATATATATTTTTTTTTTTTTTACTTTGTTTTTGTTTTGTGTTCAAAATTTTTTTTCTGTATCCTCTCTCGGTTTATCGTTACTGTCAGTTATAGCTAGCATGTAGTGTGTGTGTGTGTTTTGACAAAATGTACTTTGCACAAGAAGATGCATTTACATATCAAGAAACTTGACAACTTGTGATAGATAGAAAATAATTTTGTTTTTTAACAAACTTTGTTTGTGTCAACGTGTGAAAACTTATACACATGTTTTAAGTACGTGGTACTTTTTGTAACACATGATGTCACATTGATGATGAAAATATCAAGTTGTACTTTTATCGCGTCATAAATTAATTTATTTGTACAGCCTTTATTAGCGGAATTAGATAGGATTATCGGCAAAGGTGATTAAATAACATATTAATGATAGATCTGCAAACGCTCCGGTATATCGCGGTATATGACATTACACAGCCTCGGGGATTCTTCTTCTCCACGTCAACAGCGCGTATAGTTTTTTCTTAATGATTAAATTTAGTTTTTGTTTTTTTCCAAAGTAAAATTTAATAAATTTTAATTGTGTGAAAATTAGATTGTCACGATGCCATGGAGAAGTTTCCACTAAAGGGAACGTCCTTTAACTCGACAATTCCTCAATCAAATGCAAATGCGGTTACAACATATCATTCGGTCGATGCTAAGGTATGACACGCTGCTTTCAATCTGCATCTTCTTGTCTTTTTGAAAATTGCAAACTTGTGTAAACGTAAATTTCTAACATGTGTGCAATTTGGTCTCTATTTCTTTTTTTTTAGTAATCCCGTGTTTTATTGTGTTTTTTATTTTTGTTTTATTTTCACACACGTCTCGTTACCGATACAAAAATTATCTGCACTTTGTTTAACAGTTTTTAGTTTTTTTTTGTTTTTTTTTTTTTGTTGACTTTATTCTTGGTGTTTATTTTGTGATTAAAAAGTAATTTTATTGTGACGATTAGAAAGATGTGGTTTTTTCTGACGTGGCCGACGTGGACGAAAGATATTAAAATTTGCAGAACATTAAGTATGGCGACATCGCAAATACAGAAGATGTACGATTACGAACCGGGTCTGTAAGACGCGAGACAAATTTAAGTAGTGACGAAGACATGCTGGATATCAATCACCATCATCATCATTCGGATAGCAACGTATTGTCAGACCACATGATTCGCATTGATGATACATCGTCTCATAGTAAGTTTATTCAAAAGTTTCAGTTTTTTATATCAATATTATATAAAATAATATATAAAAAAATACATATATATATAGTTGTACCGATACATCAAATTGTGATATCAGATAGATCTGATTTTTTTTAACGTACATGCCAAGTGCAAAAGTGTGCACGTGGATTCAAGTTTCGTTCAAAGTTTTATTTGTGTAACACGCGCATTTTTTCACTCAAATTTGCTTAGCTTTTTGTATTGGTTGGTTCGATATAAACCGTGTTTCGAAATTATCGTCAAAACGTGTTATCTCTTTCCGATCGAGGACCGATAAGAAACATGAGGGATGGTTGTTGATCAGCTCTCATCCGCTCTGACGTCTGTCCAGTGATACAAGAGATAAAAAGTTGAATCAAATTTCTTAGCAATCGGGGCTTGTTGTCATAACGCAAGACAAAGATGTGTAAGTTAATAAAACAAGTAACGCCGATTTAATTAACTAGTTAAATAATAAAAAAAAAAAACATAGTTGTGAGAAATGATTTTGATATAGACGTGTTGATGTTTTGATCTATTTTGATTAGATCGCAGATAACATTAGTCTTACTGCGTTTTTTTTTCCATCTAATTAAACATTTTACAAGAACGCTTCGAGTTTCTTGTGAGATCGTTGATTTTTTTTACAGATAATTTTATTCGTTTTGTGAATAGTTTTTTTTTTCTTATAAAATTTGAGCTAGAGTTTTTCTTTTTTCTTCATGCGCACACTGAAAGATAACAAAAGAGAGATCGAGCGTTCGTTGTTGTTTTTTTTTCTCGAGATGTGAAATTTTCGCTTATTCTCCCGTTAGGAATGGTAATTCATCTTGATAGTTTCAGTTGATTCTGATGACATACCCGGCATCGGACAGTATGATGACTTTCATACTATCGACTGGCAGCGGGACATCGCGCGAGATCGGATGCGACATCGTTACATCGTGAAGAAGAAACACGATTCCATTTGCGGTCTGATCAAGGGTGCTCACGACGCCTGGTCGGGATGGCTATGTGTTTTACTAGTCGGACTTTTCACGGGTGTGGCGGCTGGTGTTATAGATATCGGCGCTTCCTGGATGACAGATCTCAAATTCGGTATCTGTCCGCAAGCCTTTTGGCTCAACAAGGAACAATGTTGTTGGAGCTATAACGAGACAACGTTCGACGGAGGAAATTGTTCGCAGGTGGATACGATTCTCTGCGATTGAAAAATTTTACAGATTTGTTAGATTTAATTTGTTTTTTTTTTTTTTTTTTTTTTTTCCTAATTATCGCACGTGTCGTGTAATGTTCTTGCAGTGGCGGACGTGGCCCGAGGTATTCGATCAGTCAAAAGAGGGCGCGGGGCCGTATACAATTTCGTATTTATTTTACACAGCATGGGCCCTTCTGTTTGCAGCTCTTTCCGCATCTCTGGTGCGAATGTTTGCACCGTATGCCTGTGGTTCCGGTATACCCGAGGTAAATCACTCTCTTGCGCGATTTACATATTTCTCTATTTTGTATATTACATTGATATTAATTTTTCCCAGATAAAAACGATCTTGAGCGGCTTTATTATCCGTGGTTACTTGGGTAAATGGACGCTGATTATAAAATCAGTAGGTCTGATCCTCTCCGTATCGGCAGGCTTAAGTTTAGGAAAAGAAGGACCTATGGTGCACATTGCGTGCTGCATAGGAAATATATTTTCTTATCTATTTCCAAAATACGGTAGGAACGAGGCGAAGAAGAGAGAAATCTTGTCTGCCGCGGCCGCGGCCGGAGTTTCCGTCGCTTTTGGAGCTCCAATTGGCGGTGTTTTATTTAGCTTAGAAGAGGTAATATTTCTTGTATTTTTTTATTTTTATTTTTAATTAAAAATCTCTATCTCGTTTGGAACAAAATACGTGCATTTGAGTGTGTACTTGCGTACAACAGAAAAATGTTATAAATTTCAGGTCAGTTATTACTTTCCTTTAAAAACTCTGTGGCGATCATTCTTCTGCGCTTTGATAGCTGCTTTTGTCTTACGTTCCATAAATCCGTTTGGAAATGAACACTCAGTATTGTTTTATGTACAATATAATAAACCGTGGATATTCTTTGAATTGATTCCCTTCGTCATGCTCGGAATAATTGGGGTAAGCGAACTTTTCTTTACACGGTCGTGCGAATTTGTGTCTGTTAAACAAAAAAAAAAACAAATGTTTACAAAAGCATCTTTTCGACAGGGAATAATAGCAACGTTATTTATCAAAGCGAACTTATTTTGGTGTCGATATCGTAAAACTTCGAAGTTAGGACAATATCCCGTTACCGAAGTGTTAATCGTAACAGTGGTAACAGCGGTAATCGGATACCCCAATCCATATACAAGAATGAATACGAGTCAGCTCATTTACTTGCTGTTCAGCCAGTGTGGAGTATCAAATGTGGATATGCTATGGTTAGTTAATTTGATTAAAATTAATTTTGACGTTAATTACGCGTAGTTAAGAACAAAAAAAAAAACACACATAAAAATTCTCTATCTTCTCTCCAAAAAACAGTGACTACAATAGAAACTTTACCGCTGTCAAATCTGCCATCGAGATTGCCGCAGCTGGTCCAGGAGTCTACAATGCCATATGGCTGCTCGTGCTTGCGTTGATATTAAAACTCATCATGACGATATTCACGTTCGGCATGAAAGTACCGTGCGGTTTATTCATTCCGTCCCTGTGTCTGGGAGCGATTGTTGGCCGTATCGTGGGCATAGGAATGGAACAACTTGCCTACAATTATCCCCACATATGGATGTTCAGTGAGGAGTGTTCTACGGGTGTCGACTGTATCACACCCGGTTTGTACGCGATGGTCGGGGCCGCCGCTGTTCTCGGCGGTGTAACCAGAATGACTGTTTCCTTGGTGGTTATTATGTTCGAATTAACGGGCGGCGTGCGTTACATCGTACCTTTGATGGCCGCGGCTATGGCGAGCAAATGGGTCGGCGATGCTCTCGGAAAACAGGGTATCTACGACGCTCATATCGGTCTGAACGGCTATCCGTTTCTGGACAGTAAAGATGAATTCCAGCATACAACTCTGGCGGCAGATGTCATGCAGCCCAAGTAAGCAAATCGATATGTATATTTCTTTTGTCAATGTGTGTGTATATTTTGTGTTTACTTATATATATATTTTTTTGTTTTTATCTTTACAGACGAAACGAGGCTCTTCACGTCCTTACTCAGGACTCGATGACGGTCGAGGATGTAGAGAACTTGCTGAAAGAAACGGAGCACAATGGCTTCCCCGTAATAGTTTCTAAAGAATCTCAGTATCTTGTTGGTTTTGTTTTACGGCGAGATCTAAATCTTGCCATCGCCAATGCCAAAAGAATGATCGAAGATATTAGCAGACAATCGTTGGTTATATTCACTAACGGAAACAATATCCAAAGTCATTCGCCTCCGCCTTTGAAGCTGAAGAAGATCTTAGATATGGCTCCGATCACTATCACAGATCAGACTCCTATGGAAACTGTAGTTGATATGTTTAGAAAATTAGGATTACGTCAAACTCTCGTTACACACAACGGGTACGTGCGCGTGAACAATTTTATATAATTTTTTTTCTCTCTCTCTTTCCGAGTGATTTTCTAACGATGTTATTTTCTGTGCAGGCGGCTCTTGGGTGTAATTACGAAGAAAGATGTCTTGAGGCATGTAAAACAGCTCGACAATGAGGATCCCAATTCTGTTTTATTCAATTAAACACACATTGCCATTGAACGACAAAGCCAACATGAAATTTATCTATTTCGATGCGTCAGCGTAATAACGAACAACCATATAAAGAGTATATAATTTATATGAATTTAAGTGAAATGCATATTTTATCAATATTCTCCATCGATCTGTCTGCACACCTTGAAGTACATCACTTAAATTATTACATCATTGTATGTAACTAGAAGAAAGAAAGGTAAGCGTGCAATAGTCATAGATCGTTAAATTTGTATGTATGTTTACTCTTATTCGAGTAAAAAGATAGGGAGAGAGCTTGAGATTATATTTTATTTTATCTGGTCATATTCCGAATCGAATTTTCGTTATCGCATTGTAGTTAAATGAGAAATAATGAACCGTTATGAGATGACAGTTCGCGTGATATAAAATAATTTTACTTTGTGTGCATTTTTGTTTTTTTTGTTTTTTTGGGGGGAAAAAATTACAGACATTAAAACTATAGAGATCATGTATAAATAGTGTATGTATGTATATATATATGTATATATATATATTGTATGTATATATATATATATATATATACATATTAAAATATTGTTAATATATAATATACAGATTTTTCTGAATGGCATTACAATTACATAAATATACGTTATATGTAATATTCTTATAATTAAGTTAATGATAAATATTGTTTCATTAATATATATGTATTACCATCCTTGAACGTATTTCTCATCCTCATATACATTTCTAATCTTCTTCTATCGTCAATTTTTTGCTTTTTAGATTCATTTACGGTCATTTATATAGATCACTTCAGATACATAATTTATTATATACACACGTAGAGAGGAAGGCCTTTTTTATGGAACAGGTGGACACACAGAGAGAGTCAGATATGTGTTTATATATTTTATATCCCTCAAAATATTAATTATTTTTAAGAAATAAACGTTTAATTTTTTTTGTAACACACAAAGTCGAAGATATACAAACGAAATGATATAAAATATTACAGATTATATATATATATATATATATATATATATATATATATATATATATATATATA